TTCGAACAAATAATTTAGTTTTCGTTAGATGGGTCGCACCGTGTACTTGTCGTATATTACTTTATCAATAACCCAGCAGACTGACTGCCCACCGAATTCTCGGGTTCAACCATCATAATACTGGTTTATGATATGCATATACGGTAGGCGCCAGGGGTACACGAATAGTTGTCTTGAGGTTTGCAGGAGCCACTGTCGAAACTCTTCGTTTTATCCAAACTTACCAAACACCGGGTGTCACCTTGATTAGCGTTTGTCCATTGGCATTGCTTGATGTTTATCGCTTACCAGATCAATTCATTAAACTACAGTAGAACGTCTTGAACAGAGATTACATACAAGAAGATGCATTCTTTGATGTAGTTCAAGATTATCTTCACAACAGTAGTAACGTATATAATAGGCGACGTTAGGAGAGGAACCGTGTGGTTATCAACGCGGTGCATTTCTACTGTGAGTTCGTAACGCAGCTGAGGTGTGTGAACTTCAGGCCGCCAAAGGGAAAACTGTCCCCAGAGTCCTGCAGAACGAGCCGGAGTACTTCAAGAGAAAATCACTGGGTCTCGTGAATTTCGTTTCTGCACCCTTGAATCTCCGAAGCGGAGACTCAAAGGTACAGAAAATCGAAGGCTTTCAGCATAAAGGCTCCGATAATGCAGAGGTGATAACGTTGTAACCAGGGATGGCCAAGCGTATAGAAAATGCTCGAGATTTTCACATCGGAAAACTCTTAGCTGAGGATGCAAGCTTAAATTAAACGGGCAATTGATGATCTAGCCTACGCAAGGTGCGGATTCGAAGCAGGCCTGGAAGTGAAAAAAGAGCCTTGGTCTATATGTGGTGTTTGTTCCACTGAGTCTATATATAATTAATGAGGAGTTTTGTATTAGTTCCGCGAGTGCAAGTAGGTGCTGCGGTCCAATAACAGAGAATAATGCATTGCAAAAAAAATTCAATTTACACGGCTGTCCTGTTCTAGAGCACATGGCGCCGCGTGGGCACATGCGCGAGGTACCGTTTCCTTCAAAAATTCAGCTAAGAAGGTGAGAGATGTTTTTGACGACGATGATTATGATGATGATTACTATTTTGAATGTTAGCTATCGCCTAGACTATGACGTGGTCACTTCCGCTTGCCTCGACCCAGTAAGTGCAGAATTTATATCGTAGATGACTCACTGAAAAACTCTGACGAGGTGTACATAATATAAGCAGCATGTGCAACAGATAAACGCCTTTGCTAGCATGTCCATCAACGACTCACCAGGGCTAATAAAAAATCAAAATAAAAGGTCATCGTATTTAGTCTGGTTTTTTGTATCGCACTGTTGCATTTCCGTTGATCGCTATGAAAACCTAACAAACTACGTTGTACGTCCATGCGGAAACGGGTGGAGCCCGATTTTTTTTTTAACTGTCACCAGCCAGTTGCTCGATGGGAAGCGAGACAGAATTATTAACGTCTTGCAACATGCAGTAGCACCCACAGAAAAAACTTACGAAGAGTCCGGAAACCGTTAATTAAACGGAAGACAATGCTTATCACAATATGATATGCTTCACAGAAAGGTCATATTTTATTTTGGCTTGAAGCTAGAGAAATGAATAGACAGAGACGTGTATATTCAATTACCTGTTTACTACTATTCTCTATTAAATATCAGCAATTTTTACTAAATTACCGGCTCCATTCGAAACAATGCAAGATCATAAGATCACCGTAGAAAGTCTGCTGAAGATTAGCGTTTACATTGGCTATCCACAGCGGTCATTTCTGTCCATGGTCAGTTGCCGCTACTGCGTATAGATGTTAGCTCCTATTCGTAGAGTCCCGCCACTGGCAGACGCAACATCGTTTTTGTCAATTTTGTCGATGAATAACAAGCTTTGATTCTCGACGGTTCTCTAACCAGCTTCAATAGCACAAGCAGTGTGACGCTGTAGATGGTGACAGTAAGCGGTCGGCAATCGCCCTACGTCAACTCGGGAAGCTGTCAGGTCTGCTGCAAAAGCGTAGCACACTTCTGCTAGTATACTTCGAGTCAACGTGCAGTCCTGAATATCGGTGATTTTTTACTGGCCGTTCGTCTTTGGCACGTTTTTTTCGGCAATAATCCTATGCTATGTGCGCATTTGTGCGCGTTTGCCTGCAATCAACATTGTCTGAATAGGAAAAACTGACCGCTCGAAGAACTTCAATACGGCGACCTCTGCAGGTAGCGTCCAAAGGTAGCAGTGCTATGCCATGTTTAGCAGCGTAGCGAGCCTCGACATTCTCAAAAATTCTCGAATTAATCGGGATCTTTCACGAAAGCATACAAAAGTTGTGGAAAGGTACATGAACACGCTCGCGAAGTATCATCCGATCTACGCCGTCATGTTGGAACACCAAAACGACCCGGACGACCCAGTAAGCCCGCTGCTGTGGGCCGAGAAGGCTTGGGTACGCTTCTGTAGCAACGAAGTCAATAGGTATGTAAAAGAGCTTGACAAACTCAGTGACGAATACGGAAGGGCGGTTGCAGTCTATCTTGGTATTCGCGCCTATCATCTCGATAAGAACGAATCTGACATTATCGCGACACGGACCTACTACTACCTCAAGGAGCAGCTTGAAATCGCTCGGGTGAAATGTCAGTGCGCAGCAGCCGAGTTCGCCCAGGCATCTGAGGAGCATTCGGCCGCCATCAAGGAGGTCACCGACGTCGAACAGAAACAATTTGACGATAGTGAAAGCCTCGGGGAAACGCTTGATAAAGCCAATAAACAAGTGACCATAACGAAGGTTCGCTTGGAGAAATGTTTTGAAGAACATCGACGAGCCATGGCTCTGTTCATACCGCTAGAGGAAACAGCGCGTTCGTTACAAAAGCGATATCCACACGAGATTGAACGGGCTGATCAGTTCTTTCGAGTTGAAGCTACTGGCGAGGATTGTTTAGATAAAATTCGAGTGAAGGCTGAGGGGAAACGTCGACAACTGACCCGCGCCGCAGAGCGATGTAACGAAGCGCTGCGCGACCTTATGTTACGACACAAGCAACTTTCTTCAAATCGAGTGGAACCAAAGTGGGCGGGGCAGGGGGATCTTCTGATGTCCCGATCGCTGTGGCGGTCAGCGCCTTCGCGCCTTGAGTCCAGTGGGGACTCGTGGCCTTTAGTATTTTTGTCGCCGACCTTTTCGGGAGGTGATTTTGGCCCACGGAAGTGGTCGTCGCTTTCTGCAAACCTTTACAAAGTTCACAGGTTTGCTGAACCAACAAATGAACAAATTAGCTGATGAAAGTTCATATAATTAGAATTTCATAGTGCTTTCTATAATTAAGTTTATTCAAGAGCGAATTATTATCGAAGTGGAAACGAATTTCGTCGAGAAATTATGCCCGTTCCTTTTATATTGGTGATGACATTGAAAAAATAAATTAAAAAACGTGGTTATAACAAAAATGGCTGCATGACGAGTTTAAATCGTTTATAGTTGCTACATTACGTACTATCGGCTGTTTTTGGTGTTTTTGTGTGTGTATATAAAAAGTGTGTTACCCTATGTGCAAAGTGAATAAATATCACGCGTTTTATTGAGCATATAAGAGTTTGTGTGTATGCTTAAACCTTGTGCTTAAATCTTGTACTGGATACGTAGATCATTGGTCTTTTCGCATTGAGTAAACAAGGTGACGGCAAGGGCGATGCGGATCAACACAAAGCAATCGTACAGACTTGATTAAATATAACAATTGCTTAGATAAAACATTATCAGATAACGTAGCAACGAGACGAAGTACTACCAGCAATGTACGGCGTAACTAACATAAGCCGATGGCAGAATTGTAATTCGAAACATTTACATAGTAGGTATTCTGTGGTAACTCAAGCTTTGTGTAAGCGAAGCATCCTTCCCTTACACCTAATAAGTGTCCCTTCGGATCTTTTCGGATCGTCTTTGTCCATGTTAAACATGTTAAATTTACCCTCCTCAAATACTTTCAACAGAACCCAACAGGTGTACGGTAATATATCTATAAATAAGGGAATACATTTAGCCATTTGCACAAGTCTTTATGTAGCGATGATTTCGAAATTACGCCGAGTATTTATCCTGTTCTTGGACATCTATATTGCTAACGTATGTCTCGAATAAAACCAATTATTTTCGTTACGCTGGTGCAAGCTGGTAACTTTTTCACGCGACGTGGAAGCGGTCGTATCAACCAGTTGTCATTGTTCTTTCCTTCCTTTTGACGTGTTCATGTATCGACCTTTCTTCTTTGTAAAATGTCTACATTTTTAGATTTGTTTTTTTTTGGTGCTCTAACTTCCTAATTATACAGTATCGGTCCTCTCCATTGTCAAACGTCGAGGTTTATCGACGACTATCGTAATAGCAGCTATCGCATAGGCAATTTTACTCGCCCAAAGACAATCGGAATTTGGGATTGCTCTGAGATCGATTTTCTGTCGCGGCTGAAACCTTGCAATTATTTATGTTATACTAATACCCATTGAGCCTTCAAATCCTATTCAGCACAAGAACACTTTTCCCATACAACAATGGGTTGGACGTGGACAGAAAATTATGATGTTGGCAAGTGCCCATTTTTTTTACCAACCAGGGTTTTACTAATTTTTCTTAATTTAAAACTTGTATATAATATAATATTTATAGATAGAACGTAGAATAGAATTAGGACATATATACGTAATGATTACCTAAAAGATGTTGAAAATGGCATCCCCGGAATGGAAAGTGGCAACAAATGGCGTCCCCGTAATTGTTTACATTATACGTAGTTTTAGTCGATCAATTTCGACCAATTCGACAATAAAATTGTTGTCTTTGAGATGTTTATTCAACTTATTTTAATAACGTTTTTCGCCATTTGCTCTAATGTTTGTCCGCCGCCATGTTGTCTTCTAGCGGCAAATCCTAACGGCCATGTATCTTTGCTGTGTTGTCCTTTTTCATGCGCTGTCTTTGTCCAATCGTGTCGTGCAATCAGCAGGGCATTCACAGACGAACGTCTTCCAGCCCAGTTGGGCGTCTGCATCGGTTTAGCTGCTGTGAACGTGACGTACGCGATTGCCCCCGAGAGCAATTACTCGACCTCGATCGACGTCCACTTCAACGAACGGTTCCACTTTACGCGACCCACCAGCATACAGGAAGAATACAAAGAGAGTTTAGTGAAAGGTACGTTGTTCTGGGGAGGGGGTCCCATTGTGCTAGTGCAGAGGGGGGCCGGAGGAGGTAGACTGACTGGAAAAGTTAGTGACCCAGTGTCGTAATGCGGAATGGAATCCCACGGCTTCAATGAAATGCTAAGTGTATGTATATCTGGTAATCTAATCTATCAGCTAGTAGCGCGGTTGGATTGAATGTAGAAGTCGATAAGAGGTGACTAGCTCCATGGGCTATTCTCTAACACAACGTTTATTCGAACGACACTTACCATAGATCGTTTGAAAACCCAGCACGTGCGCTTGCATACGCTTGAGAGTTCGCCAGCGTTCTTTATGAATTAGGCAAGGTCTATGTAAAGCTGGGATAGTTCCAAAGGTATTAACACAAGCGTAACATGCAAGCATCGTTTAGTGCTTCGACTTGAATTAGAAGTTCAGTACCGCTTAACTTGATGTCTTCTAAATTCTAAAAAGCTGCAAAGACTTTAAATGTTAAAACGACATTATAGTTACATTTGGCAATATTCTTGACGGCACAGAAGAAGTTTAAGCGTCTCACTGTCATTGCATGAACAAAAAAAAAATAATGATTATAGTACTTTTCTAACCCGGGCGTAATTCAGCCCAACTGGCAATTCGTATTCGATTATCGTTTAGTATGTACCAGAAAAAAAAATCTTTCTAATAAGTGAGTGAATTATGATAAAGCTCTGACGTTGAGATGGGTTGATGAGCCATCTTTTTTTTTCTTCATTGAAATGTAGCCTCGTACGTTACGCGTAATCTGTCTACCTTTCTAGTAAATTTAATCTGTCGTCTGTGGCTTGCTGATATCGTACTTCTGCTTGCCTTCCAAATGACTGCACGACGTCTGCAATATATACGCCAATTCCGACAACATATAATTATTATTTCGGTTGGTTTCTAGCTCTGAAGTTGAGCTCAAGCTGAACTGCTGTTTACCAACGGGAAGAGCTGGTTGAGGCGTCAGTCAGCTGATGCTGTCAGCATTTCGCCCATCTCGACAGGACATTTTTAATCCGTTGTGATTTAGTGAATCGCGCCAATGTCGACGGGCAACTATAAGCTTATTCACGTAGAATTAGCTGACCGAAGCGATAAAATCGCCCAGAAACGGCGAAGAGCAGTAGGATAGGCTATGTGGTCGGGGGGAAGGGGGTAGTTTTTATTATGGAGGGTTTAAATGAAGCCAGCTGCGTTAAGGGCCGTTAACGGATACCGATAAGTATTACACAATGTGTGTTTAAAGAAGGGTTATAATGAAAAATGCATTGTTCTGCTGAACATGGAAGCTGACATGGCGTGAGAATTGGACTTGGAGGGCAGACTCAGCGTTCGACACCGTTTTATAATGATATAGCAAGACGAATAAATAAAAGCAGAACACAGTTTCTATTACGTGCGATCCTGGATTATCCCTTGGTGTTATTTTAGATATAAATGCTCGAAGCGGATTTGGGGAGGAGTTTTTGACGAGTATCCTTTATTTATCAAAGTACGAAAAATATTCCTTCTGAAAACGCAATTCCAGATAGGAAGATATGTTAAAAATGAGAAAAATTGAAAGGACGAACATGGTCTCAATTTTAACATTGGTAAATGGACCCTGACTCTTGATATCGACGCTCTTGACTGTATTAAAGGTCAAGGTATTTTGAAGTAATGGGAAGCATGGGTTTTAGAGGGCATTACCTTCATGAAGCCGGCCCCTTAATATCTCGGCCAATTCATGTTACCCTAAAATATTTATAACAATTTAATAATAATAATACTGAGCTCCACTAGATTTTTATAAGATTGTGCAGCGACAGACCACCAAAAATTCGCATTTCTCAATTTCACCGCGCTTTTTCGGTTCGATAACACCGGTTGATTCGTGCCCGCAACGAAAGCTGCACAAAGATCAGCATCACTATCGGTACTATATTACCATCTTACAAGGGGGTGGTCGCTAGCATTGGCAATGGGAATGCGCCGTGACGCCTACTTTTGCCATAAACACAACGAGTTCCCGACAGCCCGCTGCTTTCTTGGTTCCTTCCTGTGTAATTATCCGTTGGCTATAGCTCTTCTATGTTCGATGCGGCGTAATCGCAGCAATATCGCCAGCCTGTCCCCAGATCATCCATAATGCCCGTAGGAGAAAGAGGCCATGTCAGCGATAAGATCCTGAAATTGCCTACTTATATATACAAGTAATTTGTAATAGCTAATAAACAAATGAGGTGAACAGAGGTTCCTAGCAGGAACGAAGAGAGTAGAATTGTATAGATGACCAGTAAAAGAGGACGGTCGTAGACATGCACAGCCGTGTAGCGTCATAGCTCTGTCGTTGTTTTTTGGGAACAAGTTTTTTTTTTTAGCTTGTATAAACAACTTCTCAGTAACGCTTGAATCTGAACTCAATGCCGAAGCGCATGAATGTGGTGGTCTGCGATTGAATCTATACGTATGTGAGCGTGCCTTTGCGTATGTCTAATAGTGATGTACGATGATTCTTTCCGCACGCGGTTGGCCTGCGAGATATCTGTATGTAATTATACTGGTTGTCTGTGATGCCGCAGCTTGTCTTTTATATGCATCTGGGTTGACGCCATGGAATCGACAGGCAAATAAATGAAAATCTACTTCTGTTCTTTTTTTCTGTTCTTTTTCTGTTCTTCCGCGTCGAGTTCATATCATTTGTACGATTTTCCTCTAGCTGTGTAGAATTTTGCGCAGACACAAAGTCACATTAGACAAAACCATCCCTAATTTCTAACACTGACTGACCGATAACCCAGGTACGCACGGAGACTAGAACTAGCCCGGGCCTGCATTTGTAGTTCGATGCTGTAGTTCGGACAGCAAAGCAGAAAGATTTAATAGTTTTGATAACACAGCAGAATGTTTATGGATATGCCAAGCGTTCCGCTCCGCTGTCCACAGTTCGACTGTGAAAATCATGGCATTGATCATCATCGATGCCCAATAGTTGATGTAACGGTTATATCAATAGCAGTAATTGATAATTAGGCAACAGGCGAGTCCTGGAAGATACCAACACCTCAGAACAAAGGCGGCAGTTTGTCATCATCGTCCAGTAAATCTGCATCGTATACAGTAGAAGTCAGCGGCAGGAATGAACATTTGCCGCTCAGTGCCTTCATGACGCGATGACTACGCTGCATAACGTCGAAATATGTGTTCCGTTATGAATGTTTTCCATATTTACATGAGACAAACAGAAAAAAGCGCCGATTATTTGGTAAAAGGTAGCCTGAAACGAAAGGTCCTTTACGCGGATATATTATTTGTCAATAGGCGAACATCGTCGACAGAAAAATGCTAACGAATACAGCGTTTCTCGCTGATAAATAATCACCTGTTACCAATCGTAGTGTTGATCGATTATCTTAATTAATCTCTTGATATTATATATGATTAAGAACATCTATAATAAGTACTTAATATCATTGAAAAAGAAAATGAAAAGCCAGACGTGATTGAAGCGTGCAATTCGGACGCGGCAGGTTCGTCTTGATGGAGTTCAGGCGATGCTTGCCATCAAACACGACGCCATTAAGCAGCTGTCCTCAGCTTCGCGAATTTGTCTTCTGATGCACCCAGTGGGATTTATAATCTGTATAATAAAACGCAAATGAATATCTTGTATTCGCTTGGTCTATTAGCTGATCCCCGATACCAGTTGGCGCTGTTAAGTAATTTATCGCCCACAACGGTTACCGTGTATTTTCTGCTTTTCGTCTTTCGGGCCGCCCGCCCACTATTACATTGATTTCAGTCGCATCCTTTCTTCGGTCGCTTCCGTATCAGCCATGTTGTTCTATAGAGGTACATGCATAATAAACAGGACGTCATTTTCGATAGTGCAGCCGTACGGGACGCGATAGCACCTGACAACAATTGTGATTGTGCCAATTATACCCTAAGAGTGATAAGGGACTGAAGCTAAACGAGCTTTACAAAGGTGGAACAAGTCGGCTTGTTTGTGTCATTGACGTAAAATAATAACAACGGCCGTCTGCTGCGGCTAAGGCTGATCCGGCGGGTGGAGTGCAATGGAATTCGATTCCCCTACGGCTGGTACGTGTTCTCAACACATAACTATTAGGCCACGTAGATCCCCTGGACGAGCGCATTTGTGGCTGGCGGCTGTGTACGTAAGTGGAAGAAAAAAGCAATCACGCATTGACTGTCGCTGAATATGCCGCGGATGGTTGATCGGGTCGATTGTGTAAATACTAGACGCATATGAGCAACGAGTTTTGAACAGATGTTCTGTGCATTATAGAAACATTACTAAACGCTTCAATTAGACGAGTAGAAGCAAAACACGAGTGCGGTCATCTAGTAGATATAGCGCTGAAAGAGCTATTTTTGCCAGCTAAAAAAGGCTAAATCACATGCAGTTGTTTTTTCTGTATCTAATAAATAAATGCGGCCTGAGTGGTTAGATAAAGCCGGTGTGAGAACGGTAGCTTAATGTAGCAATTAATTTTATTTTACCTCCAAGAAGAATAGATGATCGACGCTGACGTTCAATTGAATGTCTGCTAGTTTGAGTTGCCGATTTCCAGTCATCCGTATAGTCTAACACAATATATATGTAGCCTTGATAATGGAAACTGCCGAGTCACACACCGGCCTGGCCTGTCTACAGGACAGCGTCGGTACAAAAACGAGGCAAATTGCTGAAGCTTGGTATACTCATAGCGGAATCGCTATAATAACAATGCACATTTTGTAGATTCGATACAAAAGTCATTTGAACGATCTTTGATCACGTCTGGTAATCATTATATGACGTATATAGATAGATAGTAGATATCCACCAACCTACACATACTCGCAGGCGGCACTACGTGCTAACTTATTACGCCATGAGAACAAGTCATTTTAGTACTCAAACAACTCTCAACACCATCCATATTGTTTCGTCTGTCCGTTGTTTTGCAGGCTTACCATACCCGATCTTGACAGTTCTCGATTACCTACGGCAGGATAGCGATGGATTCACGTGGGGCCGAGCCTATCGCAAGGCTGGCTTCTGGGCATCATATTTTCTCTGGTGGTCATTTGCCCTGTGGCTTCTATCGAACTTGCTTCTATGCGCGGTGCCCCGCTACGGAGCATATCTGTTCTCGGTGACAGGTCTCGTAATGCTGGTAGCGGTGTGGATCTATGCGGTTCTGTTGCCAAATACGCCACTCATTATTCCAATGGAAAATGGAAGCTTTCTCAAATTCGATCTCGGATGGTGCTTCTATATGGTGCTGGTTCTCGGTAAGTGACTTTAATGTGACTGATTTGTCGCATTGTTATGAGATCTGAGCTATTTAATTATACTCTCCCTTCATAGTTTGGATGCTGAGGTTTTAGAGTCGAGGACGGCCTCGGTAATATGTATCTCTTTCTCGATCCGCCACATTTTTTTGTGAGTCACAGTATAATGTGCTTCTTCTAATCGATATCAGCAGTCCACCTTTTGATCACGACACCTAACCGGGCGAGCTCGGAAGAGCACTGAGCGACGACGCAGAAAATCAGCCACGAAGAGCAAAGTCACACATTTGTAATTATTAATAATAATTGGCAATCATGCGTAAAATTGGATAGATAATATAAACCACTTCAGAAGCGTGCCTCGTCATTGCCACTCCATTGTATTCCCTCATTTACTACGTACACCATACCATGCTCGATACGAACGAGTATTTAATTTGTTTCACAATGGGGAATGGAATGACCGAGCACCTAGTCAGTGCAATGATTTCATATAGACCCATTTCGCTGGCAAGAGATAACTTAGTACATTGTAGAAGGCCAGATACATCGGTGGTAATACGCCAGTATCGCTGCATGCATAGACCTAACGCGTACACACCTACAAGTACGCAGACTTGCAGACGATTTTCCGTTCAACTGCGGCCGATCTACGGTTCGCCTTGTTTACCTCGTTGAAATTGCAAGTAGGAACCGAACGTGTGTGTGTCTACTTACTGCCTGTACATGAATAATTTCATGACGAATGTCACAGTTTTTTGACCGCGTCACTGCCATAGCCATTGCGAGAATCGAAACTTTTGTGGGGCTAATTCTCGATACTTGATTTAGTATTAAGAGGGGAAAGACTATGACCGAGTCCCATAACTTTCATGTCGCAGGGTCAACAGGGATGACGCCAAGATACAGGGCAAACCTGCCGACGAGTTAGCAGGTGCCTTCTGCCAATCCCGTTTCGCAAGAGGGCTATTGGTGCTGTTGCAATTATTATCGTTGCCGTTGCTATAGATGATGTAAAGTCTATGTTAAAGAAACGTTCCACTATCCGTGATTATAGTTGCGCATACTTTGCCTGGCACCAATAAATAGGCCGATATCTGGTTGACCCCTTGCTCTAAGCTGAATCAACTTTGTTTTCAAGGAACTAGGTTAAATTCTCCCTGGTCTCCCGTTGTTTATAAGATATAGGGTTACACTTTCAGATAGCTTTTTCTGTTGCGCCATAGACGTATATATGAGCTTGACAAGATACTTTTATCACCAACACTTTGCCTCATTAGCGGCAAATATCACGACAGAGCCAGCAAAGAAAATAATCTATAGAGCATTCTGCAATCCAGATCTGAACGTTCCAAAAACCCAAAAGTAACGCTTGGATTGCACAATACCGCAATTCGAGCTACCGATTAGTCTGTCTAACAGCGTCTTCTATTCGTGATCCGCTGCCGAAAATCAGGGACATAATTGGCACCGTGAGTTCGTCGCGCGATTAGCGACGGCTCAGTTAACGATCACCACAAAACAAACCTGGGCACTGTTTTCTTCTCTATTTTTCTATCTCTTAGGGTGTTTTTCCAGTGAAATGACGGACTGCCCGTTAGACGAATTAAGCAGCCAAGCAGACGTTGACTGGTGGAATAACCCATTCATTCCAGTTGACTGCTCGTTCCGATAACGAGATAGGGTCTCTACGGGAGCGTGGTTCACAGCAGGCAGCGACTGAGTACTTTTTTCGCCTCTCTTACTGCAATCAATCGGATGTTAAAATAATAACGGCTCGATCGATGCCCGACACCTATCTTCCTAAAAAAAAAAAAAAAAAAAAAAAAAAAAAGACCGTATTCAGCGAATATCATCGAGACCGAGAAAAACTGAAAGTAAAGTCCTCGTTGATGTGTGGTTTCTACACGACAGGACTACTAAGGTGCCGCATGCAGATCGTGAATGTGAAGATCGCTATCGCTTAGAAAAACATATATAACAGGTCCTGTATAGCAGGACTATGCAATATTCTATCGCCTAACTTAGGCTAGCAGAGAACGCGTTGCCGAACGAAGAGAGAACAAACGTCACCGCTCGAATCACCAATGTACTCATTGGCTAGCCCAATGTGTGCGTGAGAGTATCTCGTTTTCACTGCCACACATATGCAATACCTATTCATAGATCGTAGATCAGGCATCGTTGATGCGTGCTGACGTAGACGATAGAACAGAATGCGGATTGATACTACTTTTTTTTTGTATCGCTGAACATTGAAGTTTCCAGGGCGATGTGTGGTTTTCCCAAAAGAAGGTGTTGTATGCGCGGAACTATTGAACGCGACTTGTATATTAAATAACAGTTATTACGGCCTGCGAGTTAAATACTATGCCCACCGCAACAAGGGACGTATTGCTTAAATACAGAATGGAATGAAACATATTGATAGAAAAAACATGACAGATATGTTTTTCTTTTATATTGTATACGTATAAAATCAAAACTGTCAAATTTTCACGAAGCTTCTGCACCACTTCGAACAATTCGGCAACGAGGCCGGACCTTAATCTCTATTAATATGTTTGTTTTGACTCGAGGGGCTTTCTTTTCACTATAAATTAGACCCGTTATTATTGAATTTACTGTTTGGAACTGCGGGTAAGAAACGACGAGTCGTTTCTGCCTTCTACCTTTACAGAATTGTGTAGCCTCAGCCAGCAAACTATATTTAACAATAAACCATCGCCAGGTTGCACTTGCCCTTAGTCATGAACCGCAAACACGACTAGCGTTAGCCGGTGCTATTGCAGTGCTCTTTGAAATCTTGTGATTGGCCGGTTTCTCTATCCACCCAAAGAATAATCCAAAGCACAATATTGCACGCATATATCCCTGAGACGTTCGCAGAAGTTCCACCTTTTTTTTTTACTCGCAAATTCGCGATAATATGTATCTTTTTCGTTCGTTCGTTTGTGATAGTTCACTGGCCATAGCTAAGCATCAGTGCATCGACAGATTATTGGTTTTTGATCACCTGACTTTCTGTGGTTGTAAATCCGACGACGACAGTTTCGCCGCGGCGGGGAAATGCCGGATGTGTGTCTGTGGTGGTTTTTTTAATGCGAATACTGAAACAACTGAATAACAGAGAGGATGATAACACGAAGCACTTCTGCATCTGCCTCTTCTAGTAATACGGCCTGGAAACGCTTAGACGCTGAGCCCACACACACACACACACACACACACACACACACACACACACACACACACACACACACACACACACACACACACACACACACACACACACACACACACACACACACACACACACACACACACACACACACACACACACACACACACACACACACACACACACACACACACACACACACACACACACACACACCTATATCTATATATACCTTGCACTTTTGTGTTTTGTGATAGTACGGCGCTATTTTAGTACGTTCTTTGCGGCGGCCACTTGTTTCGTGCCAGCGAACCCAACTATTCTAGTCATTTATCAAATCTTTAAACATCTGCGTGTTTATAAATCCAAATGGAAATGTGACATACATATGTAGTATGTGTACATGGCTGTCAACTGCGTAATTCTACATGAAAGGGTTGCCCGATGGGAACATTATATGCTGTCATAAAATGTCCGTTTTCACAACGACCAACACTTGACAACAATGACAGCATAGATTCTAACGTCTGCGTCGCGGAGCTATGCGCGACAAACATATAATAAATATGCATTGAGTTGCACGATATAAAACAAAAACAGACGATAGCTTTTTACGTTTGCCAGCATTGGTTGCTATGACTGTTATTATAGACTCGCCAGGATTATGATAGTGCTATCGACAATTTCGCCCATTTTGTTATACAACATTCAGCCGAGACGAGACTTCTATCTGACGTGAAAGTGTTCTGTAAGTCTAAAGTCTGTTTCGGTTCGGCGGCGTGCCTTGACGCCCGTTACCCACAGCTTACCATATGCAAAATGTATCAGCCATAAAGAGACGTACTATTAGGAGACCTTTGCAAGATCGGGGTGTTTTCCTACCAAAACAGCGTTTTCGCGAGGGAATCGAGCACGATTAGCCTGCGCAGAAGTGCGTGCCCATCGAATATTATTATAAATAGCCCTTTCCGCGTTTACCAAGGCGCGGATCTGTAGGTCTCTGGCAAAAAGAATGTTTTAACAATTTAAGATAAAAAAGTGACCATTGTTATTGTGCAGCGCTCATAGCATTGTCTAGCGAGCAAGATGGTGTCGGCGCATGTCTGAATTGCATTGCTGTTTCTATGTCCCTGAGGGGTACGAATCTTAAAGTGGATTCGTTATGATGAGCGCAGTTGTAAGACTTGAGACCTAGCCTCCAACATGGGTGGCGAGGGATAAAGGTTAGGTTATACAGAGACAAAATCTACGTCTTCCCTTCTTTAATCAACTGTTTTTTTGTGCCTGAAAATAAGAAACGTTAACAAATTAACACGCGTTCGGACAACCAGAAAAAGAATGACAATTTAGAATTTTTTTTAACATACTATTATTTTTTATTAATATCTTAACGCCAACCTTTTCCGGAGAGGATGGGGCAAAATCACTATATTTCGTTGTCGATATCACAATTCATTCCTATATGGCTTGATTCCTATATGGCTGAATTTGGCGCGGCCGTTTTATTTGATCGTCTTTCCGCAACTGTTTAATACCCATAATAACCTGATATTCCCGACGAAGCTGCTTGCTCAACTTTACCTCGTACCCTATATTCGTCGCCTTCGCTTTTTACACACCATTAACTTTTATCTAGTCATTTGACAATATAGAGCTGAAAAGTACGGAAAAGATCTGCGCCATCAATTAATGTAAACAGATAAAGGTTATTAGTGCGAAGTCATCCATATCTGTACCGTATACGAGGTTTATCGATTAATGTAAACAGATAAAGGTCATTCGTGCAGAGCAGACGGCCAGATCACCTGGAAAAACGCAT